CATTTGTCACCATTGATGACGGCAACGACAAGTATCTTTCAAACACGTACGTGCGAAATGCAGCGCTTCGTCTGTTTTGCGAGGAGCTTTGTGGCCAAATAGTGGAGCGGACAAGCTTCCGTGAGGCACTTGCACCACCAACGGTTGCCTCGGTGCAGCAGGGAGTTGCGGGCTCTGTCCCTGATGAGGTTCTCATCCCGTTCCTTGCCTCCATATGCCGTGAGGATGCCTTTGTCAGCAAAAATGCGTTGGCAAGCGTCCTGTACCACAGCATGAGTCTCCGTCCCGATGTGTTTGGTCAGCCCCCCATTGTGGACCGCTTCGCCAGGTTCGCCATTGCCCGGAGAGGCAGCAGCAGTAGCCATAATAATAATAATAATAATAATAATAATAATAGTGGATCCGTGTCGCCGTTAGAACGAGGAGGCGTTCATGGAAACGATAAAAGTCCCGCTGCTGCCCCTGTTGCTGCGGGTGTGGGTAGCAAGGCAGGGGTGAGGGAGAGTTCGGCGAAAAGCCGATTGAGTCTGGGGGTCTCGAACACAGATGTGGTCCTTGAAAGTCCCATTTCCTCCAATGCAGCCGAGGCAACAAGCGAGGTGATGGATGTCACCTCCACCGCACAAGCAGATGACGAGGAGGAGGACGAGGTGGAGACACTGAACCGGTTTATGGCAGACCAGTCGGATGAAACGGCCACGCGCACACACAAACGCACCCTATTCTCTCTCAATCTCACACTAGCGGAGGTGATGGAGACCGCCATGCATTTTTCACAAATGCGACCGACCTCACCTGAAGAATATAAGAAGGCAATGGCCATGATACGAGCGGCAGATGATGCACGACACGAGCGTATTGCAGCATTCCGTAGTGCTACGCCAACAACCGGTTCTCATAATGGCATGGGTTCGTCGCCGTCTTCTTCTTTAACCACCACTCCCACAGTTGGGTATCCAGATGCGGCGTTACATATTGAGGAACCAATGCATTTTGGTGTTGTTATGCTTCATATTCGTTTTGCCCTGCGAAAAATTATTCATGCTTCCATGCGTCGCCTTGCGGCTCAGCAGGGACCCAAGACACTTTCTATGATGGTCGAAATGTTGCGAGAGGTGGACCCCAAGTGGCACCAAAATCAAAATAACAACAGTGGTGAACTCCGTCGGCAGTCCGATAGCATGCTTGCCGGAACCCTCCGTGTGCTCGTGGCACGTTCTGTCGTCTGTGTCGACCTTGTAGGGGAAGCCGGGGATCTTCTTGGCGGCGGGGCTGGCGGTCTAGCAATAAGTGCAGTCGGCTTGCAGCGCACGGAGCGGGCATTACATTTGGTGCAGCGTGCGAAGCGCAGCGCTACTGGTTCTGGTGGTAATACTGGTGACCACGTTAGCCGCCGTCGTCCTCAACGACATCGAGGAGATGGTGGTGCCAGAACCTCCTCTTCGGGCGAAAAACGTTCTATTTCATGAGGGGTTTGTGTCTGTCGGCATGTGTGCGTGTGTGTGTACTTATGTGAAGAGTCGCCAGATGCTTTGTGGTCTCCACGTCTTTTTTTCACAGTCTGTAGGAGGATCCGTATTCATTGTTGCACGTGTGGCATCCACTCATGGACGGCTTTTCGTATTGTTTTTAACATGTCTATTACTCCGCTCCTGTACACTTCCTCTACCAACTGAATTCTGCGTATGCCTTTTTGTATGTTTGCTTGTTTTCTTCTCTCTCTCTTTATCTATTCATCCATGTGCATTGTCGCCTTGTATGGACGTTTTCCACACACACAAAAAAAAAAGTACTTCTATTCCTTTGAGGGGTAGAAGGGTAGCGAAAAAGGGAGGGAGAGAGAGAGAAGAAGAAAAAAAGAAAAAAAAACGAAAAAGCAGGTCTTTTTCAGGAGTTTTGTTTCCTTCTCACTTTGTGAGCCCATTTACTTCGTGCCACAGACACCCGGTTTAGGTAAGGTACTGGGAGAAGAAGAAGAAAAAAAAGGGAGGGGGGGGTTGCGGGTGCGAGGTGTCAATAGACAACCCTGCGGTCACAGACGGAGGTGGAACAAAATAAAAAGAAATATAAATTCAAAAAAGGAAAGGACGTTTATTCAAATCCCATAGCCACGACGTCGCAAGTGGGAAGGAAGCCTTGTGCCTTTCTGTACCCAACTGTTTTCTGTGCTGCCACGTGAAAAGTCAAGGGAAAAGTAGGAATAGGCAAGAAGCACGCAGTAGTAGAAGACAAGTCAAGGGAATACGACTGTGGAGGGTTTAGAAGACTCAGCAAAAAAGCAGACATACACATACCAGACGTACTGTTAAGGAAGCCTGACAACAAACTTGACGACACAAAGACAATTGTGTGTGTGTGTGTGTGTGTGTTTCTGCATTGTCGTGGTAGTATTAGTCTGGCGGGCCAGTTTAATTGTCATTCATCTCCCGGCCTATGCATGAGAGGGACGCGAGCCTGTTGGCACTGCCCACACAGGACTCAAGGGCGCAAGTGGGTCGAGGGAAGCCACAAACAATTCGCCCGCATGCCCCACTTGTCGACGTTTGTTTTCCAGCCTTCACCCGTAGACGTGTGAATGAAAGCCGTATCCATAGCTTGCCGAAACAGCCACCGTTGGACTGGAATAACGTGTTAGGGCGGCGGGCAAATACAACGCCGCCAAAGAAGGACGTGTTTTTCTCAGATCCGCCAAAGAACAGCACCTCCACACTCACGCAGGTTGGGAAAAGTGATGAATGCAAGACATTTTCTCCCCGTCCCGTTGGGGGAAGTCTAGTCACTTCTCACGAGGGCACTGCACCGTCTCTTGGTGTGAGTGACGACACCCCACCTGGCAAAAGCGGCAGCAACAGTGAGCAGGGCGCGGGAGAAAAGAGCGCGAAGGACGAAACTCAACTGTCAAGTGTGCCCTGTAGCCGCCTAGAGGAAGAAACCATCGCAGAGGGCGGCTTGCGGTTGCCAGAGACTATCCCAGTCTCTCCAAGGTACAGGAACAGTGCGATGGCGTCCTCCCTTCCTACGCTAAACTTAAAGGGGTGTTTGGCTTCTGACAGAAAGACAGAACAGCACCAGCAACTAACACCGTCATCGTCCCATTCGCTCCCGATGTCGATAACGTCCGAAAATGTAGCCATCACTGCAAGATTTGACAAGCAAACGGCTAGAAGCATGATGCACGACATGTTTCCCGCATTTTCCAGGACAAATTCCAATACGTCGAGTACTCCCGTGCCGCACGACAGAACGATGTCTTTCTCACCGAAATCTCCAATATTGCCAGAGTCACCGAATTTTTTGTTTATGCGGACAACACCTATGGGCCAAACGCCACCGTCTAATATATCTACGAGCGCAGTTGCGCCACCTAGTGCCTTTTTCGGGTACAATGACGACCAATTCGTGGACAATGTGAAGAAGAAGAAGAGGCGAACCACTTTGGGAACACCTATCAAAAGAGCATATGCATCCATTGTTCGCATTTTTGGTGGGGAAAAGTCCTCACAGAACGCTGCGTCTGTCGACGTGTCAGCAACGTCCAGTGGTTCACCCTCGAGGTCAACCATCCAGCGAACGAAGAAGAAGAAGAAGGGTAAGAAGAGGAATATTAAAAATAAAGAGAATGCGCCCAATACTTTGCGGATGGATCAGTCTGGAAAGAATTCTCTGGAGGCCGTTTCCGTGTCCACCATGAAACACGAAACCCCTCCTGGTACAACGACTGTTTCTACCACAGTGGGTGGGGATAGTACTCTGCCGAGCATGCGAAACTCGCTTTGTGGCAATTCAGCTGCGATTAAATCCATGATCCTCATGCCGCCATCTTTTTTGTTGTTGGAAGACGACGTGGTGGAGAGTGCCACTGCTGCGATATCCACCTCCACTTCTTCCCAAAAGAATGTCACGTCTTATATCACGCTCGACAAGGGCAGTGGAACGGATTTGGAGGGTGTGTCGGCGGCACCTGACACGCCGCAGACGCCTGGAACGACTTCGACGGGATCTAGTGGGACGAAAGGAGGTGATGAGAACTCTGCCACTGCGATGGCTGCTTTCTCGGCTAACGGCAATTTAAGTCTCTCGCTCTTATCTCTGGAACCGACTCTTGTGGCCTTCGAGAATAATACTACAATCACGACCAATGGCAATCTCAGAAACACGTTACATGACACATCGAATGTTGACGCCGGTGGTTCCGTTGGGGTTTCACCGCCAGAGGAACCAAAACCACTTTGTAGAATATCCTTTTCCTCAGCGGGTAGTGGAGGGACTGAACCAGCCAAGGCATTGAATAAGCCTAAATCGGCAAATGACCCCAAGAATAGTATAGAAACTAGCCCGGCGTATTTTCGATCCAGTGAGAAAAAGAGGGAGAAGACTTTCAACGAACAGGAACAGCAATTAAAACAAATACCAAGACTCTCGGCGATTGAAGAACAAGTTCGTTCTTGCAACAACTTGTTATCAGTGACAAACAACAACATGCCATCCAATATGCCGATTGCCGATGATGAGAAACGGGGTGCGATCCAACAGAAAAAAGGCAAAACGGTCGAAACGGAGCGGATGAATGAAAAAATGGCCACATACTCCTCACCACGGCCAACGTCGACGGTAGGGCAAAACGGGAGGTCAATGGAAGATTTGTTTCCCCACAATTTATCTAACAATGTCTCAACCGGCTCCAACAATGCTTCTCCCCGTGGTGTGGATTGGCCAACGGATAGTTTCTCCACCCAGTTGCCTCTTGCCGGTTCAACGCCCACTCTGAGCGGAGATACCTCCACCAAGGATGTTCAGCTCGCTACATTATCCCAATATGCTCACCGAACGGAGGCCGACCTTTCCAGGTCCACATTTGGTTCCATTGGGGCTTGTCTTGCGGTTTCTCAAACACTTCGTGTTATCAATTTAAAAGGTTGCATGATTGACGAGGAGGGACTCCGTGGACTGGCCGAAATTTTCACGTTAAAAGTTGTTTGCGTCTCGCACATACGGCAGTTGAAGTCTTTGCGATCACTCATTGAATGCCGCAATGGCCGTTTTGCCGAAATTGAAGAGATTGATGCGCAGTGCACCGCCATACAAAATGAGGGAATTGTTGGACTTGAGAAAATGCGCCGACTACGTCGTTTGTGTTTGAGCATGACATGCGTAACGGACGTCACGCGTCTTTCAGCGAGTCGCTCTCTGGAGGAGTTGTTTCTCACGTCAACGCCTGTGACAAGTGAGGGCATCCTTGGTCTGGAGAGGATACCGACGCTGAAGACGCTTAACATTAGTCGCACCAAAGTGCAGTCGTTGCCTAGACTTTACAAGTCAGGTTCTCTGGAGAAACTGATCTTGTACTCATGCAAAGTGACCAACGAAGATCTGCGTCGCCTGGCGCAGATGCCTCGGCTGGAGGTACTTGATGTTAGTACAACCAAAGTGACAGACCTTTCCACACTACGTGGGAGCCTTTCGCTGAAAAGCCTAACAGCCCAGTGGTTGCAACTAATTAATTGTGAAGATATCCTTTTTGATCGGCTATCCTCCCGTAATGGAGAGGCCCATGCGAAATCACGCCGAAAAGATGGAGCGCACTCTAAGAAAAACTCATGTATGCCTACCTATTTGAGCAAATACCCCATCGAAAACGACGCGGAAGCTGGATTCTGTGGCCTGGCGGATATCCCAACACTGGAGCATGTGGACCTTTCACACTGTGCAATTCGTAGTGTGAAGTCCTTGTTTGTCAGTAAGTCTATTAAATCATTGGTATTGCGCCGGACACGTGTCGATAGTAATGGTATTAAAGGCATTGGGAGTATGCGATCATTGCAAGCACTTGTCATTTCCAATGTTGCGGATAGTTTTCTTGCAGAAGATGCTTCAGAGTGGAGTTCTGCGAGTGGCGTCCTTGTCTCCATAACGGAGCTTCCCAATGTGTTAAACCTATCCGTCTTGGATCTGTCCTTTACGGATGTGTATGATCTTCGCATGTTATCCGCGCTTCCCCTTCTTCGGGAGTTGCGCCTTGTGGAGACACTTATCACGGTGGACGGTATACGTGGAATTGAGAAGCTTCCTTCACTGCACACATTGGATATCTCACAAACAAGTGTTACCTCCCTTCAATTTCTTTCCTCTGGTTGTCAATCGTTGAAAAGACTTTTTGTGAGGGCGAACCGTAACACGCGTGGATTTTGCATTGGTAACTTGCATAAACTCCACTCTCTTGAGTTGTTAGATGTTAGCGACACTGTTGTGGAGGATATTAAAATGCTTTTTCGCCTTTCGTGTCATCTGAAACAACTTATTTGGCGTTGGGGAGAGCGGCGGGACGTACGTGGCCTCATTGAACCCCTTCCATGTTGGGTGAACACGCCTGTACTGAAGGGTATTGAAAGTATGCCATTTTTGGAGCTTTTAGATATCACAAATACAGCCGTCAGCTCCGTGTCGTTTCTTGCCCAGTCGGCGTCGTTGAGGTGGCTAAAATTATCACGGTGTAAGGCATTAGATAATGATGGTATTGTGGGGTTACAGAGCATTCGGACACTGGAGGAGCTTGACCTCAGTCATGCAACAGGCATTACGGATGTTTCTTGTCTCGCCACGTCGCCCACGTTACGTGGGTTGCGGCTTGGATGGACAGGAGTCACGTTGGAGGGATTGCATGGCATCAAGACGATACCAACGCTGACATCACTTGACATTACTTCCGCACCGGCGGAATGCGAGATGAAAGGTGAAGAAAAGGGGAATACGGTCGTAACCACAGATGGAGGCAAAAATAGTCACTTGAATAGAAATACGCCTTGTACAGTAAACCCTTTGTTGGGTGGCATTGCTGGACATGTGCTGTTGGGGAAGCGCCAGTCTCGGCGAGTTTCTTTTATATTGTGAACGGAAAAAAAAAAAACTCATCTAAGCGAGTGAAGGGGTGGAGAGAAAGAGAGAGAGTGGAAGGGAGACGCAGCCAAGTAGGAAGACAACCCCGTGCATTCTTTTGCTGCGAATGTGTGGAGGAGAAGGAGGAGGAAAAAAAAAAAAAAAAAAAGAGCCCGTCGGTGTTTAATATTTTTGGCGTAAATAAGAGGAAATATTAAATCAAAAACAACACAAAAAAAAAAAAAAAGTTTAATTGCACATGAAAACGTTTACGTTTGATTGTGAAGGGTATATAAGTAGGAATATCATGCCCCTTCCCTTCCCTTCCCTTCCTTCCTTCCTTTTATTTTCTTTTTTTTTTTTTTTTCTTTAGTCTCCCGTTGTTGTTATTGTTGTTGTTGTTGTTTCTTTTTTTCTTTTTTTTTTTTGTATCCCCTTGTCCTTCCCCCTATTCTTTTGTTTTTCTTGTTCAGTGTGTATATTTACATGTATGTATGTATATATATATATATATCGTAGTGCTGGGGGAAGAGCTGTATACATTTATTTATTTATTTATTATTTATTTATTGTTCTTCATTTTTTTTGTGTCTTTTTTTTTGTTTGATTGGATGAGGCGTAGGGAGAACGAAAACGAGTGAAAGGAAGTGTCTTTTCATGCCTGCATCATTTCTTGTTTGTTTTTTTTTTTTTGTTTTGTTTTCCCCTTCATTTATTTATAAACTGTTAGGAGGGGATGTATGTATATATGTGTGTATTTATATATAAATGTATATTGGGATTACTGTGGAGGATTCATGTGTAAATATTTATTTTTATTTTTATTTTATATTGGCGTTTTCAGCACGGTTAATCAATTCTTCTGCTCCTGCCGTGGCTGCTGCTGCTCCTGCCGTTGTGGCTGCTGTTGTGGCTGCTGCTGCTCCTGCTGTTGTGGCTGCCGTTGTGGCTGCTGCTGCTCCTGCCGTGGCTGCTGTTGTGGCTGCTGCTGCTCCTGCCGTGGCTGCTGTTGTGGCTGCTGCTGCTCCCGCCGTGGCCGCTGTTGTGGCTGCCGTGGCTGTTGATTGTGATTTTGATTATTTTGATTTTTATTCCTTTTTTTTTTTTTTTTTTTTTTTTTTTTTTTTTTTTTTGAGAGGGGGGAAGTGGGAGGGAACGGGGGGAAAGTGGGATTTTTTAAAAAAAGGAAGAAAGAAAGAAGAGAAAAACGTGAAATTGCGTTGAAATAAAATTTAAAAAATAATAATAATAATAAAACGCAACGAGTGTACATAAAAATAAACATACATGTGTACGTGCGTGTACTTTTTTGTTTATTTATTTATTTATTTATTTTTTTCTTCTGTCGGCCCGTTCACCACCGCCGCGACTTCTTTTCCCACGGGGAAGGACGTCTGACAATTTGCGTGGCGCCAACAGAAGCCCACCCCCACCCCTCCTCTCCCCCGAAGTGTCATCTCCCTTTGTTGTGGTCATTTCTCCCTTTTATGTAGGAATAGAGGGACAGGGCATCTCTCACCCAGGCGTGTACATACACACACATACACATATATATATACGGATATTCCATTTCTCTTTGCCACATGCCTGGTTTATTTTAGGTACTGGTGGTTGTTGTGACTATCGCTGCGCATTTGTGTGGTGTTATGCATGCGTATTCTTTTCTTTTCGTTTCTTTTCTTTTCTTTTTTTTTTCCTTTTTCCTTTTTAATTTATCCTTCTTTATTTTTTTTATTTTTGTTTGTTTTCCCCCCAGCAACAACAGCCATAACAATAGTAATAATAATAATAATAACGCTACCTTGCATTATGATTTTGTCTCCTTTTCCTCTTCTTCCTTTTCCCTTCTTCCCTGTGGACAAGAGGCGTAAGGCCACTCAAGCAACTACCAGCAATAGTTCTTTTTGTTTGTTTGTTTGTTCATTATTATTATTATTATTTTCTTTTTAAATTTTTCTACCAGGAGAAATATATAAATATTTCTAAATAAAATGCCACCGAAGGCCAGACCACCACTTCCACCGGGTGACGCCGCAAAGGGTGAGAAGATCTTTAAGGGTCGTGCGGCGCAGTGTCACACAGGAACAAAAGGAGGGGCGAATGGCGTGGGGCCAAACCTCTACGGGATTTATGGTCGTCGCTCCGGCACAGTGGAGGGCTTCGCATACAGCAAGGCAAACCAGGACTCGGGTGTGGTTTGGACAGAGGAGGTTTTGGACGTTTATCTTGAAAATCCAAAGAAGTTCATGCCTGGAACAAAAATGGCTTTTGCCGGTCTTAAAAAACCACAAGAACGTGCAGACCTCATCGCTTATCTTGCAACATTGCGAGATTAGGCTTTTTTTTCTTTTCCTTTTCTTAATAAAAACGAAAATAAAAAACAAAAGAGGGGTGTGGGGTGTGGGAGAGAAAAAAAAAAAAAAAAAAAAAAAACCGTTTGTCCGTTTGGTTTAGGGTGGCCTGGGTATAGTGCGCTGGAACAGGTTGTGAGTTCAAGAGGAGGCATGAAACTCACGGTTTTTCATCGTCCCGGTCCCGATAGGTGTATTTTACGATTTAAGTATGAGGAAAGTTTGGAGTATATGC